CGCCGCCGCGGATCGCCCGGGCCGGCCCGGCCCGCCCTCCTCGCGCCGCCTGGGGCGGGGGACGGGCCGGGCGGGCTCGCGCCGCCCCCGCTCGCCATGGCGGCCCCGCGCGCGGGCCCGGGCCGTGCCCCCGCCCGGGAGGGACACTTGGGTTGGTGTCGCTGCCGGCATTCCCCGTGCGCCGTGGATTAAGCCCTAAAAAAATTTAATGTTATGGGGAGTTGGGGGGTTTGTGTGCACAAATACCTCAGGATTGTGGGGGTTTTCAACAAAAACAACAACAGAAACTGACCTGACGGGGATCATGTGTCTCCCACAGGCCGTGGAGGTGAATCAGACACATCGTCTGCTCCAAAAAGGATCTCGAGGCTCTTCCCTCCGCAAGAGGAGATGGGGAAGTCAGAGTCATCCTGCCAGAGAGCTTTCCTTTCATCCGATTTCATCCCGTTTCCTGCCGTCCCTGGATGGTTTCCTGAAGCCACAGTGCTCTGACCTGACATGTCCATGTCAGAGTGCCTTCTCTGTGCAGATCCGAACACCAAGCCAAGCATCTGTGTGATGCAAGGTGGAAATTTCATGAAAGTCTGTGGACCAACAGTGATTTATGTCAGCCAGAAATCTGGCTCGTGAAGTTCTTAATGTCTTAGAGCAGCAAGGCCAAAGGGTAAGCAAGCAGTTTTTCACAGTCCCTGTGGATGCACAAAACATGAAAGATTAAGGACAGAGCAGCCTGTGCTTTGCCAAAGACCCGACCAAAGGAAAGGCCGTGCAGTGCCACCTCTCCCTCTTCGCAGAGGCACGTGAGACAGAAGAGCAGGCTTGCTGAGCTTCCCAAAAACAGCTGCACTCCAGCTTTCTGAGCTGCATGAGTCCTCCCCAAGCCCCGAGAGCACTCGCCTTGTCTGGGAGTATGTGTCACGTTATCCAGATGTTGGAAATCTTGCTTCAGGCACATGTGACCCACTGGTTGGAATGAGCCACTCCTGCCAGTTTGCTCTTTTCTTGTTTCCAAGTGTATGAATTCCTCTTTTAGGCTGTGGTTTCTGCTGAAGTAGCAGATAAATCATGCCTGTTTTGCTGGAATGGCTGGATGAGAGGGAGATGGGCACAGAGGAGGTACAGGGCAATGGATCGTGGCTATTTGCCTGTGTGTGGTTTCATGCGCACACGGGCCCGGAGCCTCCTTTCCCAGTTCCCAGAACTCATTAGCCGATGCTTGGCTCTGTCCCAGCCTCCTCCAGCATCCCAGTGCTTCGTAAACCTTGGCCCAGGGTGCCCAGCCCCAGCGGGATGGGCGTTTCTCACTGTGTGCACACAGAACCTCAGGAAAGCTGCCTCCTGGAGCTGAGCTGATATCTTCCTGATATCCAAGGAGCTGGATGGGGCATTAGCAGCTTGCCAGCACTGAGACAAAGATCGTGTTGCAGCAGCAGGAGGAGACTGCTCGTGCTCTTGGCTGCATGGAGGGAACCAGGCTGGCTGCAGCCCTCTGCCACTAAGTCTCCTGCTGCCTCTGGATATTGGTTCCACATCTAGAGAAGCAACAGGTGGCCCTCACTCCTTGACCTGTTGGTCTGGAGTGGAGCTTACAGGACCTCCTTTACACTGGCTTCTTGTGCTGTAGTATTCCCTGGTGGTTGGGACAGCAGGGAAAACAGAGGGATGGTGGGGTAACCGTCCTCGGTCATTTAAAACAGAACTCTTAAATAAATACAGCTTTAAAGTAACTCAGCACTAGAAGCAGAAGTTTCCACATGAAAGGTCGATGTGCAGATGAACACAAGTACACTGCCAAGATTTACTGCAGAGAAAGTAGTAAACAGAACAGCTTACAGCACCTTTGGGGTTATACAGTTCTCTCCTTTGTCTCCAGCATTTGCAGATGATCTCCACACATGTTGTCATTTAACATCCACCCACTCCCACCTTTTTTTTGGCCCAAGCCAGTCGGGAAGACCTCAGGTAGGCTGTGTGAGTGCCAAACCGAACTCGGTGTGTTTCAGGAGTGAGCAGTCGGAGCGAAAAGTCACCCTCAGTGTAAGCTGGCGGTGAGCCTGGCCCAGCCTTGGGTCCCTGGGAATGCTGCAGCAGAAAGGTGGAGTTTGGGGGGAGGAAATCCTCATTGCTGTGCTGAGGATCAGAGTCAAACCGCAGCTCGGCAGCCGCATAGGCTGCCTTTTCCATACAATACAGAGGGTCAGGAAGGCTTTGTTGCTTGATATATCCAGTTCTGGTCCAGGATACCTCTGCTCAACAGCTGTGAGCCAGCCTGCTTTCTGCAGGATCCTCGACAATTGCCAAAATTTTGTCTGGGAAAAATGAAACCTGGGTGTGTCTGTATGTGCGGCTGCAGTGCTGATTAATTAAATCTCCTTTCTGACTAAGGTCCGGGATTGCTGTTCTACCAAATGATCCAGGAGCAGCGTGAAAGGGGGGAGCTGGAGGTCCTGCTCCACAGCACTGCCACCAGCCAGCACTTCCAGACGCCCTGAGCTGTGCAACCCCAAGGTCAGGTGATGCTGATGGGAACCCTTCCATTCCAGCTTAAAACTGTTTCTTTCAGAATTTGACTTAGGGCAGCTCACAGAAAAATATTTTTCTTCTCCCCTCACAGGATATGAACCACACATGGAAGTCTCATGCTTTATAAAAAGATAGAGAAACCGGAAGGACCCCATACAACATGCAGGACCCGTTTGGGAGCTGCCTCCTGAAGGATTAGGTACAAATCCTTTTTCCTTTACAGCTGTAGCCTCCTGTCTGTGCTCATCCTGTAAAGCAGTGTAGAAATGAATAAATAAAAAGGACAGCATTAAGTAACAAAGGAACTCTCGTTTCCCTGTGGTGTTGCATGCATCACCCAGATGGAAACTATCTGTCCAGACAAATTTGGGAATTATGCAAGCTCAGAATTCCTGAATAACCCTTCTTTTCCAAGATCATGAAGCATTCTCAGTACCCACTGAAAATACACATGAAAACACAGGGGGGGGAAAAAGCCCTCAACTCTGAAAACTAGGAAACATAAAGACTAGCAGTATGGATGAGGGAAGGTATAAATGTGGGAATACAGAGTAATGACCCTGCTGTGTGCACACTGGCCGATTGGCTGCCCTGAGGAGCCAAGGATGATCCCTGGGATTCACTTCTGTTTCAGCAGAGGTGGAGCAGGATCCGTTTATTCTTTGGTGTGGTTCTCTGCTGGCTGGTGCCCTGCCCTGGCACAAACCACCACAGAATAAAAATAAATTCCTCTTGGCCCAGGAGAGCAAAAGAAAGCAGGACTGAAAACATGGAAGTCCTACTCTGGCCCAGGAGCTGCTGTTGGCTCAGAGCAGCACCCAGGGATCACCGGGGCTGGGAGTTTAGCACAACTCTAGAGTTGCAGTGACCCTTTTTGGTCTTGTCAGGAAACAATGGCCCAACCAGAGGAGGCAGAGGAATAGAGCAGGCAGGAATTCCGCCTGCAGAGCAGTGCCCCCCAGAAAAGGGGCAACACATTTCTGAGGCGCGTATGGAGAAAAATAATTTTTAAAAAAGCACAGGTCATGATTCCACAGCCACCCAGTTTGTGACAGTTTTATCATTAACTCCGGAGGAACAGGCTCAAACCCCCCTGTGGTGACAGAAATGTCACTTGTGCTCAGTTTGGGGTCACACTAGGTGAAAAGGGGCTGATGTTTATCCATCCAGCCTGACCCCTTTGCCACTGCAGAGGAGAGAGAGGGCATTTTGCTGTGAAGTCCCTTGTGTCCTCCCAGGACCAGGGGAGAAAAAGGAAAGATCTACTGGGAGGATGAACAATAAAACAACTGCTTGTACTACTGTTAGGGGGCAACTAGGTCAATATTTACAGAGGAGCAGCGGGCTGCAGCAGGACAGCACGCCTGAGCCACGGTTGGGTCAGCAGCCCAAAAAGCAGATGTGCCAATTTCCTGTCTTTGATGATGATGGGCCCTAATTACACCAGAGCTGTGGCCATGTCCTTTCTTGTGTATGACCCCTAATTTGGTTTCATGAAGTCATCTGTGCCAGGTTCTTCCGGCGTGCAAGGCTGGGCGAGTGACAGTCCCGGAGAGCCATGTGCCCCACAGCAGCAGCGTGCCCAAACAGCTGGCCCAGGCTTTGACCCAACACAATTCAACTGAGGGCCAACCAGAAGTGTCCCTGGGATTTGGGTCTGTTCCTTGGCTTGCTTTACCTCTTGCAGGTTATCGTGCCTGCTGATGAGGAGGTGTGGGCTGGGGAGACATTCCAGGAGGGATATGGGTGCTCAGTAAAGACCAGCACTTAGAGAACTTGTTTGTTTTTTGGGGAGGAATTTTGGACTCAGCGTAAAAACCTACTCCTCCGTGTTCTTTCGCCAGGGAGATTTCTTTGCTGCCATTACTACTGGTGCTTCTTTCAGCAATTTTCCACCACTCCTTTCCATGGTTTTTGACACTTTATTTATATTTTTCTTCCTCTTTTTTCCTCTTTTTTTTTTTTCTCTACACATGATTTGAGGAGTTTCCCAGTTTTGGAGTTTGCCGGTTGAGCATTTACTTTAGTTGGAACCTGCAGGTTCTGCTTTCCTTAGGTGGGGATCAGTGCTCTAGGTTGCTTCTGGGCCTACCTGCAGCTGTCAACAGCTGTTTGTTGTTCCCTAAATGTAGGTCTTTGTTTATAAGGGCTGTTCCTGGAGGCTCCCCTCTTTTTTTCTGGGGATCACCTGGGTAGCATGCTGCTGCTGGTGGGAGAGGGTCGTGCCTGGGAGCTCAGCACAGAGTGTGGAGGTTTGCAGAGCAGCAAGAGGTAGAAATACTGTTCCCAGGACATCAGGGATGTGCGATGGGAGCTTGGTAGCTAGTTGATACCTGGTTCTCCATATGCCTGGGGGAAGCAGGTGCTGTCAGGAGGAAGATATGGGACTGGAGTCTGGCCTGGTGGAGCTCTGTGGAGGAAAGAGCTGAAGAAGGGGTTGGGACTGTGTAGCACCAGCAGGGGCAGATGAGGAGATGTCAGACCTTTGGTGGAGCTTTTGTCATGACCTGCTTGCAGGTAAGAGCCAGGACACAGGAGAGGAGGGCTGACTGGAGGTGGTGCTGCCATGAGAAGAGGTGGAGGCTGCAGAGTGGGGCTGGGTGGCAGCTTGTGGCACCTGGAAGTTGGGGAAGGGCTCTGTCTCTGCTTTTTGGTAGCAAGTGAGGGAAGGAGCACTGTGGAGCGAGGCTCCAGGTGTTGGGCATGCAGGGCAGGGTGGTGTGGGCAGGAGAGCCCTTGGAAAGGCTCAGAGAGCTCAGAGGTTCTTGTGGCATGGCCAGCATAGGAGGGGCAGAGCCTCGGAGTGTCCCTGCTGGTCCAGGATGCCATGCAGGCACTGAGGGGGACAGATATGGGCTCAATGGGGGACAGATTGTCCTCTGTAGGTACAGAGATCCTCAGGGACAGGTGATGGGCTGGCTGCATGCCTGAGGCTGGGAGGAGGAGCAGCAGAATGCAGGGGATCTTTGTTACCACAAAGCCAGAGCTGAGCACTGGGCAGGGCAGCCCAGAGAGGTGCAGTTGGCTCCCACAAGGGGTTTTAAGGCCTGACTAGTAAGAGCCCTGAACTTTGGCCTGGACTTGGTGTTGATCGTGCTTCGAGCAGGAGGCAGGACCATCAGAGGTACTTCCCCACCTCACTGGGGGATTTCCTTTCTTCCATGCAGATCTTGCACTCGGCTGCAGTCCTGTGTTCTGCTGCCTTGTGTAACGTCAGCTTACCGAAGACTTGTACACCGACCTGCAAACTCCAGCCAGACCTTCTAGAGGATGTGCTCAGCGAAACACCACATTTAGCAGGTAGGTTGAGATTTTATTGCAGTCAGCTCCTGGTTCTGCTCCTTGTCAGACTGCAGGGCAGGAAGGGTGCGTGTGGGAGTGTTTGCTGGCTGAGTCAGGGCCATGCCTGGTTATTTACCAGCTGAGCCCTGCCGGTGACTCCGTGTACGTCAGCCTCACTTGCCCTGTTCGTGTGAGCTGCTCCCCCAGCTGCCTGGATGACAAATGCTTCTGTACATCAGTGTGACTGTGCTGGCCCTCAGATGGGAGTGAGGCATCTGGGATGTATCTTATCTGACTGGTGTTTACATCTGCATGACTCTGAATTATTTTTTCCTCAATTTCTCCACACCTAAGAAGTTTAACTTGTACTATATGGTGAGCTGTACTCATGTCTTACTGTCTGTCATCCAAAAGATTATCCTTTTCTCTTCCTGTGTCTGGGCAGGTAGGGTGGCTGGAGGTGGAGCAGTGTTGTCGGGATTGCAGGCTGTGTTTCCAGCAGCGGTGTTGGCAGAGCAGCAAATGCAATAGCCTATAAAGGTAGGAAGGGTCACGTCCCCTCACCCAGGGATGAGCAGGTGAAGCAGCTTGGTAAGGGCTTCATGTTTTCATGGATCAGCTTATATGCGTGTAGAAGGTGGCGTATTTGGCCTTGCTTTGTGGCAACATGTACAGCTGACATACAGTAATAGTCACAGAAAAAGAGCTGCGGTACTAAACTGTCATCCCCATGGGGCAGTATTTTAGTGTTTGGGTTGAATTCTTGTGGTCTCTTGGCTGTAAAAAAGGCTTTGTAAAGGAAATGTTTTGTTCAGCAAAGTTGAAGCAGAAGCACAATAGCTTGTGGTACCATGGTACCATAGCACAAGACATATGTAGTGAAGCACTTAGAACAGGGAGGGGCTTCAGTCCCTGCTGAGGATGTGCGAATAAGATGTGGTTTAATTCCCCAACAAACTCATTTCCTGAGTCGGAGACGATTATGAGTCAGTGTGTGCTCATTTAGGCAACTCACCTGGTGGCACAGACAAGTGATGGTGCACAAGCCCCTCAGCAGCTCCCTACCAATCCTATGCTGTCCCACCTGCACAGCTACTCTGAGCTGGAAATGTGGCAACTGCTCATCAACACTGCCTGTCCTTATCTGCAGAAAATAAGGAATAACCCCCATAGATCCTGTCCTATAAATCGAACTGTACTGATCACAGCTCTCATGAGCCATGTCACAAACCCTGGATGAGTGGCAGGGAAAGGCGTAGATGAGTCACCAGCAGGGAGCCAGCCCCTTGCTGCCTGCCCCAGGGGAAGCTGTACACACAAACATCTGCCTGCTCTGTCCTTGTCTTGAACCACAGAAATGATCCCTGAAAGTATAGTCTAACACTTTTCGAGATGGGCAGGTGACATCACTGCACAGTGTGACACTGAATGTGCATGTCAGGAATATGTTTCAGTGAGAGCGCTGAGCAGGGCTGCTGTTGCCTCAGGAATAAACAGGAACATGGATCTGAGAGATCCAAGTCACCTACAGATTGCCAGCCAGGGTGGGCATCTGTTAACAAGGATGTGTGACCACAGCCAAGGCAACAAACCTTGCTGGTTAATAGTCACTTTTCCAGTTTCACTAAGTGTGAACATCAGGGGGAAAAAATACATATGAGGAGGTGTGGGGCATATTCTGTATCCTGGCAGCATGGGGAAACTGAGTCTGTACAACATCCCAAGTGTCTGGGTAAATCACCCAAACTAGCCTTCAGTTGTAACTGAAAAACAGCATAAAAATAATGGGAAGTTTCTCTGGGACCTTGGCTTGGGTTTTTCCCCCGGTTCTGCCTTACAGAAACATTTGATGTCTCTGCTACTGTGTGGTGAGAGACAGTCCCCATTTCTGGCTGGAGAATTTTTGAGTGTAAGGTAGAAGGACTCACAGCTCTGTATCTTATTTGTAAAGTTCCTAGGCTTCCTCAAATAAGATGTGTAACTAAAAACACCAAACAGAACACTGAAAAAAAAAAAAAAAACAAAAACCAAAATCCAAACAAAACAGGCAAAAGAAAAAAAAAAACAAACCAGTTTCTCAGCTGTTATGCTGAGGGAATTTTCATTCAGCATCTTGTAGGAAGTGTTTCATGTCTTGCAGAATGAAAGTTACTGAATGTAGCTCATCAAGGCAAAATGCTGCAATATAATTTAGAAGCTCATTAGAGATCATAATCACAGTGACAGATGTTGGTGGGAAGTAGGAGCCATCACAAAGAAAAATAGGGAGCTGTTTGTCACGAGGGTGTTAGTTACATCGTTTGGGGACATTTTCTGAGATATCTAAGGGGTTTGATTATCACTTGGAGGTTTCCATCTAGGTTTCTTAGTGCATAAATCCATCGGGAAATAAGAGTAAAGCTCTCAAATACTGAAAGGACTTTTCAAGACTTTGCTTCTAAGAGCCATATATTGAAATTGTGCATAGTAACCCATGTTAGAATGGCGCATGCCTTTCTCTTAGGTGAGCTATCCATGCTACAACAGCTTCGTGGGATGCAGTGGGATGGCCCCTGTGCTGCGAGGTGGGAGAATTGTGCCTGGCTAGGGAGCCATTAGAGCAGCTGGATTGTACATGTAGCTGGAGCATGGGCTTGGCAGCACATGCCCCAGATAGCGGGGCTCTAAGCAGCTGCCAAAAGGTGTTACTTGGCCTGTTACCAGGGTGTGAGGTCATCACAGACTTGGAGATGTGTGCCCTTCCTTTGTGCTACCCACTTCCTCTTGGTTGCGTCATCAAGATTGAGACAGACTTTGCAGGAAATCCAACTGATCATGCACACAAGGAGGGACTCAGAAGTGAATGCCAGGATAAGAGGCGTGTGTGGCTCCTTGAGGATGGAGCAGAGGTCTGTCCACTAGGAAATCCTGGGTGGCAGGGCCAGAGTGGGGTGTGAGCCCCCATCGCCGCTGCTCCCAGGTGCTCTCTGTGCCGTCCAGTTTGGGAGCGCAGAGATGGAAAAAGGCCCAGTGGCCAGCCTTGGGAAGTGGAGCTGCAGGGCCTCGGTGGTGGAAGCAGGTTAACAAAATCACCATTAGACTGTGCTGGCATGTGGGCCACTGGGGTATGAAGTCACCTGATGGAAGCACTGCCCAATAGTAGAAATTCCCTAGCAGAAAATGAGCTTTTGTTTCTGCAGTGCTGTTCTTCTGAGGTGTTCCATCTGCTTTACAAACACTGAGCCCAGCAATGCTTCTGTGAGAACAGCATCTCTAGTGACAGCTTCCAGCTGTCTAGCAGACAAGAGGACCCAGGTGCCATGGAAAACCAGAGAGGGAATAATAACCACCCCATTTTGCCAAGGGAGGGATGCTCATGCAAGATGGGAAGGGACCACCTAGTTGGACTGTTTGACAGCTGAATGTCCCTATGTAGGGACTGAAGATGTGAGCAGAGAGTGTGATGTAAGATCATACAAGCAAATATAAGAGGATAACTCCAAACAGTTCGATTAATTTCACCTTTGGAACGTGGGCTAAGCAATATTTCCTAAATAAGTTGCTTCTGACGATGATCTTTCAACTTCTCTGTTAGGAAAAGCTAGCAGGGCCTCCTGCAGAGGAGAGCCCAGCAGGACCACCCTGGGGCCCAGTGTGGCCGTGCCCAGGCCTGGTGCCAGCTCTCGTGGCCCTGGCAGGGCAGGAGGGGTTGCTTGCTGTGTGCCACAGGGCACAGAATGCAGCCAGAGCCCGGAGCTGGTACTGTGGCACAGATGATCTCCATAAACTGTGATGACATTAATCTAATGTATGCGTTCCCCTACGAATGTGAATAGCAACAAATACAAATCCTATGCAAATCAGGCCCTCGTGCAGTATGTGCAAATGGCTGAACATCTGAGGACTCAAATATTATATCAGAAGTTGTTCGCAGACATGCCTGTTCCAAAATTTGCTGTTACAGGGCCCTTCTGTGTTCCCATGGGAACCCTCAGGTAAGGAGATATGTGCGGCTGCTCCCCTTCAGCTGAAAGAAGTTTGTGAAGCAGAAGCTGGATTCTTCCTTTTCTTTCTGCTGGGTTCTTCCTTCTTTGCCGAGCCTGCAGTTCCTTGCAGATGCCTGGCTGCCTGGAAGGACTCTCCCCAGCCTCTATGGTCCCCTTCCGGGGGGAAAGGTGGATGTTAAGGGTTCCTCAGAAAGGGAAGTAGTACCCTCTGCCAACTGGCAAAGAACAAGCGCTGGCACAGGCTGCAGGAGAGCAATTATTCTCTCCTTCCACAAGAGCACATATTGGAAATCCCTCTCAGTCCTTCCCTGGCTCTCCCAGCTGTTCTTGCTGCAGCCCAGGTGCCAAAAGGGGTTCAGATGTGTAAGTGCCCCAAAGGGGGATAGAAGCTCCTGGGGATGGTGTCTCTCAGGTGAGAAATCTTTGCCTCTCCCCACAGACAGAAGAGGGAAGCAGAGGGCAGCTGAGAGCTTTGCCCAAGGAGGACAGAGTGAATTTACTGCCCCTGTGCCCCCATCCAGCACCACTGGGAATTCAATTTGAAACAGGAAAATAAAAAGGTAGGAATAAGTGTGGAATGTGTGAAAACCCTAAGTGTAAAAACAGGATGTAAAAATAGTCCATGTTTTTTGGGCTTTTTTTTTAAGTGTCTGGGGAAAGCTCGGTAGGTTTTCACAGTGGAGCTGGATCTTGTAAAATAAGAGTGTGACGGATGCAGCAGGGTCCATAGAAACATCCCAGGAAGAACAGGGGAAAAATAATGCAGCAGCTCGTGTACAGGCAGCCAGAGGTGATGCTCCAGGTGGAGGGACCAGAGTGCAGAGGTGTGGACCTCAATGAAAATAGGTAGCAGGAGAGGTGTAAGGATGTGTTATTCTAAATATAGAACTGCTCAGGTTGTTCTCTCTCCTGAAGCCATGGTTGCTGTGCAAGAAAGGGGTGGGGTTTAGGAGAGGAATGAGCCTATCGAGGGTGTTATATCCCACATGAGCACTGCTCTCCCTTAAAACAGGCCAGATTTTGTGGTGGCATAGGGAGACTGCAGATGGGAGCTGTGCATGGCCCTGGAGAGGGGTCTGTCCTGTCAGGGGCGATGGGTGTTCATGGCTCCAGAGAGGGGGTGCCTATGGAGAGAAGGAGTACCTGCTGTGTTCATTAGCGTGGGTTTGGGTTTTCTCTGCCGATCTAGAGCTCACAGATGTGATGAGCAATGCAGAAGTACAACGGTACCCCTTCCAGCTTTCCCCTCACCATCATCCCCTCTGTGCCCTCAGCTGCTCCAACAGTTCCAGGTGAGGGCTTTCTGCTGACTTTTGTGCTGAGAGAAAATAGTCTGGTGTCTCTAACACAGTGGCAAGTTCTGTGGGAGGAGATCACATTTACTCTTGGCCTGAGCCAGCAACTACTCCATGTATAGCCCCCACTTAATGAACCCCCCCACACCTCTGCCAGCAGGTTAAAAGTTAGGGCCAGCAATCCCTGGTATGTCGATAAATCTTGGTCCTTAGCCCATTAAATCCCCAGCCTGCTCGTTCAAGAGGGATTCACAAGAGGTAATACAAGACTGACCTTTGCTCTGCCATAAACGCCGGTGCACATGAACCTGCTCAATCAACGGGCTCTTTTTTTGGCTCCCTTCCCTCGGGGTAGTTTGTCTTAGCCTGTGGCTGCAGGATCAGTGCAATGTCCTGTCAGCACAGTGAGAGGTGTTTGGCTTTCCCCGTCCCCTGCTTTGTCAGCCCCGTCAGGTGGTTTTCCCAGGGCTGTCCCCAGCTTTTTGACCCTGTTGGACTGTTTTTCCCTCTCCCCATGACTTCTTATCTTTCAAAATACTCCGTGATTGCTGTAGCATTGATTTTTACTGCAGTAAGGGAAAAATGTGGCTTTTTTTTGATAGCCAGATTGTATGTTTGTTTGTTCTTTTATTTTTGGCTTCTTAGGAGCTTTTTGCCACTTTTCACTTTCTAATTGTCTCTTTTTCTAATCCTGGCACTTGGACTCAAAGCCAACATTTCTTATGGCAACTCTTTATCACCTGCTGGCTAGAACAGAATAGGAAGAAACTGCTCTGGCTGAAGGACCTGTGAAAGTAAGAAAACATAAAGGCTTATTTTAAGGTTTTCTTTTGTGAAATAGAATAGAAAAAAACCCAAGTGTTTCTATATGAAAGACCTGGCTGCATGCAGAGCTCTGGCTTAAGCTTTTTAACAGAGTATTTCTGTAGCTTCAGAGGAGCGAAGTGGGACCCCGGTTCCTGTTGGAGAAGGAAAAATCTACCAAAAAGGAGGTACTTGAGCACCCAGATGGTTTGCAGTGGGGGCTGGCAGGAGATAGGAAGTAATGAGCAGGTCTGATGTGCACAGTTAGAAAGTCAAGCAGAGGCTGTGCTGGGAACGAGATGCCCATGAGGGAGGTTGTGCTTGCTGAAATGGGATGCTGCAATGTAAGACTGGCAAAGAAAGGAGCAGCAGTCCTTGATCTCTTGGGAAAAAGGCATCTGTGTGTCTTGAACAATGCTGTCATATCTGGACATGGCTGAATTTTTTCAGGTCCTTGTAGAGATTTTACCGGGAAGGTGTTTGGGAAGTCATGGGTTTGATGGTTTTAACAGTGTCAATTACAGAAGCAATAGCCTGAAAATGCAAATGTTTCTCGGAGGCATTCCTATTTGTCCTTTCCTCCTGAGGTTTGCCTGGTTTTTTGGTGTCACTCAAAGCCATGGGATGCTGAGCACTGGCCCTGGTGATGTACAACAGTACCACTTCCAAGGTGGGAGGGAGCTGCAGAGCAACTCGTGAACATGTTTGATCACTCCCAGAATTTCAGTCTCCTTGTACACTGATAAACCGAAAGACAGAGGCAATGGTGGCAACAGGGAATGTTAAAATGTTTGTTGTGAATGGCAAGGCTGAATGTTAAACAGCAACATTTTGAAATCCTTCATCACAGCGAGATCCCAGGCGGAGATGACAGGCTCTCTGCGGATGAGAGGAGCACCCGGAGTAGCGCTGCCAGAGATGGTTAATGGGATTGGGTGTTGATTCCTGTTTACGTGCCGGTGCTGGCTCTGGAAGGAGGGCTCCTGCCTTCTCAAGTGGGGTCTGAAGCCTTAGTGGTGCACAGTGCTGCATGTGAGCTCTGTGCACTGCCCTGACACTCTGGCCTCAGTGCTGCCAGCCTCTCTGGGGACAAGCCCCCAGCCACGGACCAAATCCGTTGTCGCTGGCCACTGGCAGAGCCTTGGCTCACTGGGACTGATCCCAGCCCAGGTCAGAGTTTGGCAGCTGCTGTCCACCTTGGACCACGTGTCTGAAATCATCTGTTTCCTCCACAACTATTGTTTCCTAGGGCCTGTTCCCAAAAGCTTTGTCAGCCTGCTTGATTTGCATCAGCCTGTGAGCGGGGCCAACCCACCCGTGTTCCCCAGGAGGTTATTCCTGGCCGAACAGGCTTCACTCTGCACAACTGATCTGGTTAAATGCACTTCCCTTCCTTGCTTTCATTCCACTAGTTAGAATGGGCACTCTCAGGCTGCTGAGATAAGGTCTGTCTTTGTTCTGATGTGAGACTGTTTCGTAGGTACACAGTCACCCTAAAAGTGTATCCTTGAAAATAGACAAAATGCCTTTTCTAAATTGCAACTTAAATTGATTTTGATAGAGAGGATGGCGGAATCATATACAGAAGAAAAAAAAATCTTTTAAAATGAGAACTGAAGCAAATATAGTTTAGTAGTATACTCGTTACAGAATGAACAGCATATTGTATGTGCTGTGTTAGAGGTATGTTATGAATAACAAAAGCACTGGAGCATTTACATATTTGTTTTCAGAAATCCTGGCAGTTGGATTTCACTATTCTGTGCCTCTTTGCCAGAATCACTAAACAGTGGTACATATGGCTTCTGAAGTACCATATGCCGTGGAAAACGTTAGCTGATGCCTATACTGATGCGACACGCTATAGTCTTTATTTAGATTTTTTTGCAGTTTTGAACAAAGAATATTAGATCATGCAAAACATTGTGCAAGCAGTATGGAGTAGTACATAGAGGAAAACATAATGCATTGCGCCCAGAGAAAAGCCAGCTAAGAAAAGGGGAAGAAAGGGTGGTGTTGGGAATTAGAATGTGCACGTGCCAAGAAATGCATGAAAGGATGGGACATGGCTTTGTGCAGCCGAGGCAGGAGGTTTTTCAGTGCTTGAAGCAAGGAGTCAAGAGCCAGAGCTCTGTGGACATGCAGGTTTTGAATCAAGTCCCCGTTCTAAGAGATGCTCCCTGTTCCAAAAAGCACTTGGGCTTAAATTTAAGTACATGCTTGAAATCCTTGGAGAGCAAAGGAAACACGTGCATGAGTGCTTTCCTACAAAAACCCTCCTCATAGGAGCAGCAATAACTCTGCTCTCTCCTGCTTCATTGTCTGAAAATAGTGACAATGAATACAATGAGTCACGTGAGAAACACCTTGAAAACGGAATGAAACAAAGTTTCCAACGCAGTAACCGCAAAGCCCAACCCAGAATTAGAAAATTAATTCAGGCTTTTGTGTTGACAGGAGCTTTTAAAGCACGTTTTCCCCCTCTATTCTGCCAGCCCTTACCATTGCTGCCCTCACATCGCTGATGTCAGTGGCAGTGCCAAACGCTGAAGGGAGCCTGCTGCCGGGGCTGTCAGGAGCAGCCAGAGGAGGAGGTGGCCCTGAGGGGAAGGAGAGTAGGGAGGTGTTTGGCACCACCATGTCTCCCCTCCGGAGCAGCACCCTGCTTTCCCCTTTCCCCTCTCTTCTGGCTCCTCTGTGTGCAGACCACTGCCCCGTGAACACTTAATAGGCTTAACTTTAAGCACCAGAGTAGATCCAATGGGATTACTCATGTATTTAAGTGAAGGTATAATGTTTGGAGAGGGGGGAGAAGCATCACATTTCTGCCTCTTGGTTTGATTTCTGCTCTTAAAGCCACCCAGTTCCAGTGTCTGAGGATAGAAGGTTGTGGGATTCACAGAGTCCCTGCCAGGAGTGTGTTGGTGTGTGTGGTACAGCAAGTGTCAAACCACGTAAAGTAGGAAATTGGGGAAATATAATTTGCAGACATTACTTGATTGAGGCCAACCAACTAATCAGAACAGAGACAAACCCAGTGCAGAAACAGAAGGTGGATAAGGCTCAGCCCGGAATGCAGCCGGAGCAGAACGACTTCCCAGGGAGGTGGGAGCAGAAGCAAAGGGCTCACAGCTGAGCTGTGCCGCAGATGGCTGGGCAGGGGATGGCGGGGGAGCCACTGCCTGTGGGAAGAGTGTCCCATCAGCCTTGGGCAGAGCACGTGTGGTATTGGAGATGGGCACCACCATGGAACAGTGTGCTGGCCGGAGGGGGGACAAGTGGCTGCAGGGCTCTTAGGGGGCTTCAGGAAGGTATATGTGGGGATTTAAACAGGACAGGTAATCGCAGAGAGACCAGTGCTGGGGGAAAAACCTGTAATTCCCTGCCTGACTGAAAGAAGCAGGAAGAGCACTGCGAGCTGCTGGTGGTCTTTGACAGCGTGAGCAAAAGTAGTGGAAGATTTAAGATACTGAGGCTGTCACAGGAATTATCTGAGAGGCAAAGACTGCGTGCATGTGTAGGTAGCATCTCACATTTTATGAACCACTACTTAAGTGAATGGAGGTAAACAGAAATAGAAGTCGGAGTGGAAGCTGAAGGAAGGCAGGGCTGAGGGGAGCTTTTACTGAGCACTTATTTGAGGTTGCTTCACAGGTTCACTGGAAACCAAATAGTGGCTCAAATTTAAACCTCATTAGGTGGTTGTAAATTTATTAAAATAACAAGAGGGGAAGATTAACATCTTTACATCCATCTCATCTCAAGGTGTTTTAATTCCTTCGTAGGAACAAGGACCTTCACAGGGCCTTTGAGCAGAGGAAAACAGAGCCTCTCTTCCCAGAGATTGATGTTCATAGCAGTGCCAAACAGGTGTTCCTTCCCTCCACCTCTGGCTACCACATCACTCTCAGAAGAGCGTGGTGAGTGCCCCGCCTGCCCCAGGTTTGCAGCTGCCCCTCTGGGCTGTGAACCAAGCTGTCATGACCAGCACTGAGCGCACTACGTCACGAGCAGGGCAGCTGTCCAGGCTGCAGCAGGTAGACCCCCAGAGGGGAAGGACACCTGAGCCAGGCTGACCATCAAGCAGATCAGCACACCTCCTTCCCCTGGCCTTAGTGGTTTTTCTGGCTGCCCTGGCATTAGTCTCCTCAGGCTGGTGTGTGTGTCCTTCACATGGGCACAGCGAGGTTATTTGCTGCATTAGCCTCATTACCTTTCCTTTCCAAAAAGCATCCACCACTGTCTGATCTGCGGTTTGGAAAGGGGTTCTTGCTTTCCCCTCCCAAACCTCGGCTCACCAGCACATCTCCCGTGTGCTGCAATTATTAAATGACATTTCACAACTTCATCTCCTCTCCTGCTACATCTGCTTGCTGCTCCCATGTCCAACCCCGCTCACATCCCAAACATCTAAATGCATTGTTTCCTCTGTTTCTCCTGCCAGCATGGAAAGAAGCCATTCCTGAAGCAGGATTGCCTTTGAGCTGGCAGCAGATGAGTGACTGGCATTGGGCAGCACTGCTGAGGCTCTGGCAGGCCGTTTAGCAGAGAACCTTGGCTAATGAATGTCATCCACACCTAACAGATGTGCCACTGCCTGCCATGCCAGATTTTTGACATAATACAGGGCTGCTGGACATGATGGTGCTTGGGAAAAGCCACGGAGTGACTTGTGCCTACAACGCAGTGTTCAGTCCCACTCGTGCTCTGCGAGAGAAACCAAACCTGCGGGAGGGAGGGAAGCACATCCATGTCTCTCACTCCTCACCCCTGGTTTTATCGGTGCGTAAATCTTATTTGTGTTGTTCTCCCTCACGTGCCAGGGGTTCTTAAATGAAAAACCCACCACCCTTTTTCTTTTGTCCCCTGTGCTTCTAGCTCTGGCTCCTGCTGGTCTCTCCAGCCTCCTGCCGTGCCGGGGGATGGGGGGCCGAGCAGGGGACTCAGTGCCTCTCGGGAGCCGGGATGGCTGCGGGCAGGTGCCTGGCACCTGCATCTCGCCGTCGGCAGCATCCCGGGCTTCGTCTTTCCTCTCCTGCCCTCCATCGGAGGGAAGCAGCATGCGCCGAGTAGAGCGTGGAGACAGGGGGACACGGCCCCCCCGGGCACCCCGAACTGAGCTCCCGGGGCTCCCCCTCCCACCCTGCCCGGCGGGGGAGCAGGGACGGGGCCGCCTCCTAATCCCGGCGTAATCCCGGAGAGCGGCAGCAGCGCGGGCGGCCGCTAATCCCGTCCCTCTGCCGCTAATCCCGCCCGGTGTCCGTGGGTCCCTGTCCGTGTCCCCGCGGGCTGGGGGCGATGTCCACGCCCCAGGCCGTGCGGTGGGAGCCCCGTTCGAACACCCGTCTCTCAGAGGACCAGCCAACTCGGTCATTAATCCGCTAATTGCCCGGCGGGCGGGAGCGCAGGAAGGGGCGGGGGCCGTCCTTCGCCGGGCGCTCCCCGCCCCGGGCTCCTGCAACCCCCCCGGGGCTCTTACAGCCCCCGGTCCATCACCCTCCCGCCGCCCCCTCCCCGCGTCCCTTTTGGGGTGACACTGTTGCTGCTTTTTTTCTGTACAGCCGGGAGCGGCGCCGACGGGGGAGCGGTGAGTCCCCCGCGCTGGAGGAGGGGTCCCGCCAAACACCCTCCGGGGGGGCAGCCTGGCGGCCAGGGAGGCTGCGGGAGGCGTCCTTCATGACGGGGAGCTCCGAGGGAGCGTTGGGGGGTTCTTCCCTCCCAGCCGGCTGGAAAACAAGTTAAGCGCTGCGTGGCCGGGCCGGGATGAGGCCGGGGGAGGCGCGGGGGTGTCGGTCCCGGGGATATCGTACCCCGATCAGGAACGCTCCGGCTCGCTGGCTGCGTGAGCTCGGGCGCCGATGCACCGTGTAACGCAGGTCGCTTTGCCGTGCTCCCCGTTTTTTCCCTCGGCCTCTTTATCTTTCAATTGCAAAGCAATTAAAGGTCTGTACGAATCTGCGAGCATCCCTCCCCGCGGGGCCCTCTGATGCCCGCTGTATTGCCCTTTAGATGCCTCTTCCTTTTTTTGTTTTACGATTGTTGTATCAATATAATGCTTCCTTTCTTCCTCTGTCTCTATAGATACAGATATACAAGGCAAACCAAAGGTTTCGGCTGCTATTCAGTGCCTCCTCATTTGTCCTGGAGCCGTAACAGTGGTGCCCTTTCTCTTCTGGCTGCTTTTCCCTGCTTCTGGAGCAGCAGTTATGGGAGAAGCAGATGGCTACTGATTGGGTGAGCTTTGTGGCTTTAATACTGAATACTTTATGGAAAAGGACTTTATCATGCTTGGTTGGTCAGAGGAACAACGGGATGAGATTTATGACTACAGAAAATAAATCTTTTTAAGTTTCAGGCTCCTTCACACACCCCACGTCAAGTTGCTGTTGCAGAGCCAGATCTGAAATCCTCAGCATCTTTCTTTTTTCCCTCCCCCCGGCCCCGTCTGTCTGTCCTTTCACAGCTCTCCCCACCCCCTCTGCGCCAGGGTTTAGCAAACCTTTGCAAACTTTAGGGACTATCACTCACTGGAGCATCTGAGGCCTTTACAGCCCCCAGGCAGCGCAGAAAAACGCCATCCCCAGATGGGGAACATCCACCTGACAGTCGGATCAGCTTGGGCAGCCAGCTCCTGCCAAGGCTTGTCCATGTGTAACTCGGACAGCGGCCACCCAGGGTCTGGTGGGGAGTTGTGAGTGACATCCTCATAGACCCGACAGCACGGAGGCCGTGACGCCACCAGAGAGGCATCCAGGCCACAGCTCTTTGCCAAGCTCAGGTCTCCTGAAGGAAAGGGAGCCCAGCACTGCCTGACCCCACTGCACCCCATGCTGGGCAGTGCTGGGCCGGGGGCTGTGGGACTGTCCCCCCAGGAACAGCCCTCTACAACGCCCCCCAACTGCACTGTGTCCCCCATCAGCTTGTGGCTTCTGCCTGGCCTCATGCCAAAGCATGACCAGGGGCCATGTGGTGGGGTGGGCTCTGCCCCAGTGTGGGATGCTAGTGGTGGCATACGGGGACAGGAAGGCCCGAGGGTGTACAGGAGGCAGAAGCAGATTTCAGTCATGCAGGGGTTCCCCCCTTTCATTTCTCTCCCTTTTTTGTCCCTCGTAGCCTATCATGTCCTCTATCAGGCTGTTAAACATTTGAAGGAAGGTGAAGCTAGGTGAAAGCTTTTCAGGTTTTAAACCTTGGTGCTGCTGCTGTCAGGCCAAGTAAGGAGGAGAAGCAGAAAGCTGAGAAAATAATTTTTGGACAGAAAGTCAGCAGTGATATGGGGCTATGTATGAGCCATTTAACCAGCCACTTGTATTATATTCAATGGTCTGGGTTTTGGTCAGCTATAAAAAAATTTCTGTGACCCTTTGGTGAATACACAAATTAATATTTCTCACTAGACTCTGCGCTTGCTCGGAAGGAAGTACAGGGGAAGTTCGAGCATCATCAGGGCTGAAGAAACAGCCAAGGTGCCCGTGGTGTCTGAATCGTGAGAAAGCAGGTGGGGAAGGTATATAGGGTCTCACTGGGGTTCCTGGGGAGCAGGAGCACTTGCTCCTTGGGGTAAGCCATAGGTGAAGCTGATGTCTGGCCCTTTTTAAGGATTTGTGTTTTGTGGCGTGGCAGTGACTTGACCTGGGAGTCCCAGGCACCACATCAGTGAGGTGCAGCTGAAGGGTCGAAGGGAATAGGAAGGGACAGGGACCATAGGCGTGTTTGGGAGCTGAGCTGGAAACAGGACAGGACATTGCTGACGTGCCTCAGCCCTGGTGAGGGCCTGGTGGTAGGGACATATCCATCCAGTTGTGGGGCTGAGGATTCCCAGTGGGATGGATCCATGTGCTGCTTGGCAGGATTACTGGTGAGAGAAGCACAATGCTCTGTACGCCGTAGGCTGGTCTGCAGCGTGGTGGTGACACCGCTGGCACCCTGGCATAGGGCTTCCCCAGAAAAGGCACTGTTTGTGAGCCTAGTGGCATGCAGAAAGGTTTGTCGTTTAGCTGAGGCCCCCGATTTATTTCCACTACAGAGGCCTGTCTGTCTCTGGGGAAGGGAACCGTTCTGTCTGCATTTCTCCAGGCACTAGGAAAGCTTGTGGCTCTGCATTTGTTTTCGAGTGGCTTTTCCATTCCACCTAGTGTGGCTCCCCCTGGGACCACAGCTGGCCCTTTTTCTGACAGCAGTGGGCAGAGAGGGCAGCAAGGCAACTTTGGGCGTCCCTTCATGCCTCCTCCCCATGGTCCCCTGGCATGGTGGGAGCGAGTGTGGCTGGGCTCGTGCACTTCTGGGAACTTGTGTATTCTCTCAGTGATTTTATTTTACAGGTGACTTTATATCAGTCACCTGGGAGCTGACTCTCAGCTGTGTGTGTGTCTCCTCAGAGGAGTAAGCACGCATCCGTAGGCCTGATGCATGTCACAACTCAGGAAGCATTTCCCAAGGGACGCAGTAGTGTTTCTGAGCACAGGTTGAGCAGCCTCCTTGGCCCCTTTCCTCTCGTCTTTCTGGGAGAAGCCCAGGGAGGAAAGAGAAGGCTGACACTGCTGAGGAGCAGGTGCTCTTGTCCCTTGCAGCCATCCCCCCAGCCGGGGAGCAGAGGACCCTGGGCCGCCCCCCTGGGGCTGGATGCCGCGTGTCCGTGGGAATCAGGTTCGCCAGCCCGACCCCTTCCAAGCCCAGGTCCCCGTCCTGCCCGGCTGCTCCCGGGGCCTCCCCTTGCCCGGGAGCCGGTTGTACCGTGCCGGTGCCATTACCAGGGGCTCGTCGGGGCTGGGGCTGCGCTTTTGGGGGGCTGAGAGCAGCGGGGAGCAGCGAGGGGTTGCCGGCTGCCGGGGTCTGTGGGAAGGCGGCCGGAGCTCCTCAGCCCGGGTCGCCCTTAGCTCTCCGCGAGAGGTTTTCTGGAAGAAGAAGCAGATAGAAAATGCATGGATGTACCGAGATAGGAGCGTGTGGCAGCCGGGAGGCGACGGGCAGCAATCGCACGGCCCCACAGGGTGACACCGCACCCGCTGGCCGCGCGGCTGGGGCTGGATCGGGCCCAGCGCACCTGGGCCGTGTCCCCCAAAAATCCCGGTGCGGCTTTTTAGTGAGGCCGGGGGAGCGCCGCCGGCGCCGGACTCTGCGGGGCGTCGGGCTTTGCGGATTTGCGGTGGGCGCTCCCGGCCGGAGCACCTCGCAGCAGAAACTCCTAAGGAAAGAGCTCGCGTCCATCCCATTGCTGTTGTGCAGGGCGAGGGACGCCGTTCCCTGGGATCCACTTTTAGGGTGGCATCCGAGGCTGGATAAATTCTCAGAAATGCCGACGCGGTCCTTTCCAGTCACGGGGAATTTCGGTAGCTGAGATCATGGCGAAGCGATTTTGAGATCGTTTATGTGCCGTGGTGTCTCTTAAAATTCTCGCGAATAAAAATAACGCGTAGGTTTTCTTTCCCCCTACTAACGACAGTCATTCGGACAATTTATATCTCACAGCGAGAGCTGGAGCCTCAAAAAAAAAAAAAAAAAAAAAAAACAAAAAAAAAAAAGAAAGATGAATAGGAAAAAAAATCCCCACATTTGAAGCAGGAATTGAGATTCAAATTTTTAGACTCCCATATTTTTAATGTTATGACAATCTCCGTTTTAGGAGACGCTGCGTTTTGTCGAATTAATAAGATAAATGTTGAAAGCATATTATATGCAGCCTTTAATCCTAATGCAAGGAAACTCGTAATTATGGGGAGGATAAGTGAATTTGAGAGCCAAACATCAGCCCACTCTCTGATTGCAAACCTCGCTCCGTTCGCCCTGGAAAACGC